TGAACGGGTTTTCAGTTTTGCTCTTTTTTGTCACACTTAAATTGTGTGCTTTATTTATTTGGAATTTGAATTTGAAAGGGTGAATTCACATCCAATAAAGCTTATATTATCATTTATTAACAGATGCATCGAGGTAGAGCCACCGTTCAAAAGACATAAACATAACTCTGTCGAGTGCAATAAATCCATGCATATCCATTTGTAGCAATCATACGGCCAGACCAGGGGAACACAGATACCCTTCGCATTCTTACATTGTCCGCATGTCAACCATACGGCGACCGCACGGTCAGCCTGCCTTTCCTTTCGCACCTCTCATACACGTGTACAAATTCTAAGATCATATTAATTACCATTGATTCCTCGTTTTCAATCCCTGGTTTTCAAAGCCCGTTAGATGTTAATGAATGGAGATTTTTAAATGTGCTTTCATTAAACAGCCAGGAAAAATAAACTATTTTTCATTTCCCAGGAATCACATAATCCGTCAAAATTCATTTAATTTAAAATGTATCTAATATACTAGTATTACATGTATACAATCAGACAGACTGGCTATTCTAATCCGTTATGAAAAGCCATTTGTTTTTTCCTCTACAGGATGTTTCTGCGGAAGTTAATTTGTTTATCTTAGTGTTTAGAGGCAATTTCCTTTGACGCTTTCGTGAAATAAATGAACTCTGTGATGGACTACAATTGTATATTTTTACAGGAACAGTTACCCGAAGTACGCTGTTACATTATTTTCATTTTAGGTCTCTCTAATCGTTGCATTGCAGAAGTCTAATATTATTCTCTCCTGTGCCGAAGGTACTTATACCCGTAGCCAAGGGGGGGGGGGGTGTTCAAGGAGTCCAACTCAACAGAATTCGAATTGAATACAAAATAAATTCATAACATATAAATATATAAATACATAATGTCTATCCAAGTCTTCTTGCATTTTCTGAACTTCAAATGCGCCTTTTGATGTGTGATAACAAAATACTAATTAAATACTTAATGTTACTCCAGCTTGTTTTTATAGTAATTTGGCAATTAAACATGCATAAAGAGATAGCAATGTGTGTACTGTGTACAACCCGAATCCTCTCCCGATCAGGTCACGTTTTATATGTCTCTGATGTAATAACTGCCCTGTCAACCCTCACGCATTAGGCGTGATTGTTACGCATTTGCTGGAAAAATAGAAATCACGCATCAATTTAGCGTGTATGATCAAATATCACGCAAATCACGGATTTTGTTGAAATTTTTAAAAATCGTTTTTTCTGAAATGCCGACACGGTAAAATACCGAACGGCGAAAAAAACGTTCGGTCTTTGCACATGATTGCCGTTTATGTCACACATTTGGTACAAAATATGTGTATATATCACGCATTTGTTTCGAAAATATTCACACCTACCTATTTGATTGAAATCATTCAAATCAAAGTTGGCATTCGAGAACAAAAATGTGTCCAGTCAAAAATAGATTTCTAATGTTTGATTTTGAGTAGTTGTATTTATTGATCCTTGTTTTTCAATCTACAGATGGTTCACATAATTCCGAAGTAAACAGAAAATAATAAACATTTCCTTGGTTCCCATGATACTGCTTATAACCCAGGCCCGTAGCCAGGATTTGCCAAGGGGGGGGGGCAGTTTTCAAAAATGTCTAGGGGGTTCACATTTGACAATTTTGGTCCAAATATGACTAAAATCACACGAGAAATGCTCAAAATGGTGAAAAACTGCATGATTTTGAAAGGATCTTTGGCCAGGGGGGTTGGCCCGAACCCTGCGAACCCCCCCTGGCTACGGGCCTGCCTATAACCTATAAAACTCATTTATTAAAACAAATATTAATTTATCCGTCTGTCTGATTAGATTTTGTTCCCTGACTCAAATCAGAGACATATAAAACATATATATTTTATATGTCTCTGCTCAAAGAAAGTCAACCCCGATTTCAGTTCTTAATTCTTCACTTGAAACGATATAGCCATCATGATACAACATGAATTTGGATTAATTATACATATATAAAGCTTATTGTTATCAAAACCCATAAATCCTCACCATATAAATATAGTTTTATTGATGACTAAAAACAGATATCAGGGGCGTAGCCAGCTTTCAGTCAGGGGGGAGGGGGTGCGATCGCCAAAAAGATTTCGGTTTTCAGTCAGGAGGGTTCGATTGTGGCCTGAGCAGCATTTTAAAGCTCCTTTCTTCTTCTTTCTCACGGTTTTATTGTTAAGGGGGGGGGGGGGTGCGATCGCACCCTTCACAACCCCCCCCCCCTGGATACGCCCACGGATATTTTGGCAACTTCCACGTTTACCCCCCCCCCCCCTAATCATTTTTGCGCCCCCTCTAAATATCAGTTGTGTACCTTATTTTTGTATGAATTTCTCCCGAACAGTAATGCTAGAGGGGTTATAATATTTATTTCTGTTTTCAAATGAAATAATTTCACCCTTGCCCGATTGGCTATAATGCACGAATCAAATAGCATGGAGATCAGATAATTAGATTGATTTGTTTTTTTCGCAATCAGATGAATTAACTTATTGTTTTCTCTGATTTAAAGGCGGTTTGAAGCTACTTTTATAGGATTTGTAAATTCGCAATCAGACTGGCTTATTTTAATATTTAGTCAGTGCAAGAGGAGGGGACTATAATGTAGAAAATCATTTTGATTTCGACACTAACTGAAATAATTTATCACAATGAATTGTTAAATACGGAAACAGAGACCGGTTTAAAAATGAAAAGAGAGGCAAAAAACTCTATTCATACAATGTAATTAAAACCCAGGAATTAAAAGCAATTTTAGACTGTTAGAAATTCTGTAATCAAGGTGATGTTGGTACACTTCCACCGTTAGAAAAACAAAGACTAAGACAAAGACTATATAGCAATTAATCCTTTTGTAATCATTAAATGTTAAATGTAGATTCTTATTATTTCGTTGGACAATGTTCAGACTTCTGACCAAGATTTATTCATTTATGTTTGTATTTAAAAAATAGTATTTCAATCAGACAGACGTTCTAATGAGTTAGAAAAATACATTTGTCCATCACCTCTCAAGAAGTTTTCAAAAGTTTTCAAAAGTAATCAAGTCGATTTGTTTATTTTAGTGTTTAGCATTGTTTTTCATAACTTGACGCTTCCATGAACAGAATGACTTTGAAATGAGTATTTATAATTTTAGCTTTTATACGACATGCTTATTGTATATTTCTATATGAACGTTGTAGTTATGTGATGTAACATCGCCCCCCCCCCCAAATTACAGGTATACAACTTTTGGTCGGAATACTTTAACTTGCGATTAAAAGCAATTGTAGACTGTTAGATGATCTCTTATGTAATCTAGGTGATGTTGGTAGACTTCCGCAGTTAAGAAAACAAAGACTAAGACAAAGAGAACTATATAGCAATTAATCCTTTTGTTATCACTAAATGTTAGATTCTTTATAATAATAGTGCCCCTATAATAATAGTGCCCCTATTAGCCATGTACAGGGGCGTAGCAAACTTGGGGGGGGGGGTGCGATTGCCAAAAAAACAATATCGGATTTCAGTCTGAGACAAATGGTCAAACATGAGTTTCAAAAAACTTCTAGAATTACCTTATGTAAATATTTACGTTAGCTTGTTTAATTAAGGTCTGACGTTATGAAAACAAAGTGCCATTAATTTCTGAACCGTATAATACAGTATCATCTGTTTGGTCTCGGTATATTCCAGTTTAATTTGTATTATACAAAAAATGATATGTATAATTTGTATTATACCACTTTGAAACCTGTTATAATAGAAAATGATATGCGTATAATACTGTTTAATCTGATCCTGACTTAAATTATATCAGGTTAAACTGGAATATATTTTGGTTTAATCGGGTATCATTCTCTAATGATATTTGAGTCCGGATCAGATGTTATAATATTGAATGATACTTTCTGTGATATTGGATTAAACAACAAATTAAACATCAATATAGGATGTTATCACAAGTATTAATCATAGGATTTTACGTAGTGACCACCATTGCATACATATTTTGTGTTCAAGATTTAATAGACGATCTAAGCTGAAGATAAATGGATGGAAATACCATTTAAAATGTTTAATAAAGCCCAGTGATTCAAAAATATGTGATGGGGCACACAAAATTAGGGAGCACTTTTGATTAAAAAACAAAGAATGCACCCAATGTATAGCACAAATGAGCCAAATCTCAGGGAACTCATTTCAAACAAATATGATAATGTCATATAGCTCTGCCATTGCACATTGAGATTTAAAAGAAAATCATTATCAAAAAATACTTCATTTTGGAATTTGATGGGGGTGTCACTATATTAAATAATAAAACTATTTCTTACCACTTTGGTGTTTTACATTAAGATGATCATTTCTACTAAATATTATATATATGAACTGAAA